TGTGCAAAATAAATATAATAATACCTTTTCTAAGAATACATCTGAAAATAGAGATAGTTTGTGACAGGGACAAATTAAATATCTCACTTTTCTTATTTAAACGGAGAGACCGATATGGTTATCACATGTCAAATTTGGATTGACATAATCCCAATAAATAGTAATATTTGGGACAGCTATATCTGTGTGGTTGTCATATCCATAAGTAATGGAGACGACCACATGCGCCTTGTGCAGCAAACTTAGTGAATGTTGCAACACAAAACAATGTAAGTAGATGCCCCTACTAATTATACAGCAACATTTTTATTTTACTTATTTTTTGCCTTAGCCGGTCTTTTCGTGTATCTCTTTGTATTTTGTTTATTCGTTTATAACCACGAGAAAAACCAAAACTTTTCATCAAATCGCTATGGGTTTAACAATTTCTGCAGACATTGAAAAAGAAATCATGACAAAGAAGGGAATAATCGACGAAACTAGATCTTGAAATAAACACACAACCATATCTCCTAAATGTATAAATTATGAGTGCATGGTGAATATCTGAAAAAGTTTTATGAACAATCAACGTGGACACGAAAGACAAGGAAGGAGAAACTTCGGTAACTTCCTTTACCCACCTCCGCGGACTTTTATCGATAGCGAGGGAGTCTTTCGTCGAGAGTTCGATTAATTGAGCTCTCTCGCTGCCTTTTTTTCACTTCACAGAGAAGCATCTACCCGTTTTCTTACCGACGTGCTTTTTTTCAGTCGCCAATCTACCCTTTTCTCTTTCCCACCCTCGTCTCATCGATTAATCTCGATCCCAGCAAAATCGTGTCGACAGCCTCATCCACGCGATTCGGCTGCCGCTTGCTCTTGTTCTTCGCGAATCAAGTCTGGAAAAGTCTTTTTATCGGCTGAAACGAATCAGTCGAGAACGCAGACTGCATTAAATGGTCACGATTTCTTCGAAGTGTTCATTCGGAAGTGCCGATAAGTTAATTAAGCGGTGATGCGATTGTACGCGAAATTATATGGTCGACTGAATATCACATCATACAGAGCGCGTTGGAACGCGACAGATTATATCTGTTATCGGAAATATATCTCGCTAATCTGTGTGTTGGATACCTAGAACTCTCAAGATATTTATCTAAACTTTCGCCCATCGCGTCAAAATAAAGATTGTCGAAAATCTCATTAATTATTAGCAGGATTTAATAATGTTTAAAAATTAAACTAATCCCACTTTTTAAACTAATCCCTCAAAAATTATGCTTGTTAATCGTATGAATATATAATAATATTAGTTAAGTTTTACCCGTTGTGAAAGCGGATGTCTAGATGGAAAATTGAAGGTGTCAATCGAATGCTGAAATGCTTTTAGTTCGAGCATAATCGCTCACGACCGTTCATAGCTGCGCCTGTTTCGGGCTCGTATGAAGCGTGGCGGGGCCACCTCGAGCAATTACGTCGCAAAAGTTCGCTCCAAAGTTTTTCCACGCTTAACGAGCGTGATAAATTTCTGTTACGCGCCCCCGGGAGCGGCCGGACGCGAGGCCGAGAGTTTACAACAGCGATAAAAATCTCGTTGAAATTATTCATGGACAACGCTTACGCTTCTCTCTTGTCCTCGGAAGAAGAAGGCAGGCTAACTCACTCCTCTGAGGACAATATCCTGCAAGGAGAAAGGCGTCTAGCAACAGCGCCAATACGCAAAAAAAAACAATTAGCTCTGAGAATGCGACCCTGCTTCGATGTAGTTATTATAATTTACGCGAATTAATTGTTATCCGTGTAAAATCTAGATATATACCGTTTATATATTCCGTGCCAAGAGATGCAGTTTTGCGAATAAAATATAAGCAGTGTTTAAGTTTCAGTTGCTTGAACACTGAATTCGTGAGTACTAGTTCACGGCCATCGCTGCGACGGCGGTTAATTCGATTGGAAGAGGCAAGGAACGGTCAGTTCCGCTCCATCCTGCTATCCATAAATTAATTTGCTATTACTCGTACTCCTCTTTCTTCCTTTCGCCGGCAGCGCATCACGAAAGTAACGACCTGTGACGTTGATAAGTCAATCGAATGATTCGTACTAGAAAGTACATAAATTTCCACGAGCGTTGGAATAAATTTAATTATCACAGCGATAAGCGTGGATTATCTCGCTCGATACAGGCGTAATAATTTATATCCAATCTAAAACTCGTTCGCGAAATTGCTATGGCCTGCTGTAACTCATTTTTCAGACGAGTCCTTCATTATTACACGACGTCTTCTTATTGTTAGATAAAAATATTTAACTGCGAATCTCGTCGCAAACTTAACGATCTGTACATATATGACAGGCAATATTTCGATCTGTGCCGTCTCTTTTCTTATGATTTTTTGCTTCTTATTAAAAATCTCTTACTGAATTGAATATCGAATGACATACTCGTGTATGCATTACAATGATGGTGGCCGGTCTCTAAAGGTATCAAATTTGTTTCCATCTGCAGCGCGTATCTGATGAAATATGAGTGCGCCAAAACATCATGCACCTTGCCGGTTGACAATCTGTCACGGTGTCCCAACGACGTTTACCGAACAGGCTTCAAATAACATCCACTTACCCGACCTGTAGCCACCCCTAAAGAACAGTGAATAATCGTGCTGGAGCAGTTACAGCTACAAACTCAATTTTGTCAGCTTGCCTACTGGCAATCGATTTTTTTTTCTCGCACCCCGTCAATCGCTACGATAGCATATCCATCAAACGGATAAAGGCACTTCCGATCCCCTTTGTCCCCCTATTGTATTCCCGTTCATCCCCATCCCATGCAAAGACACCCTCTTCTAATTCCGGCGAGTCAGTAACAACTTCTTGATGACGCTATTGCTTGTCAGAACTTCCTTTTTTTTTCATTCTTGCAGAGAATGATTGATCCACGCGGTCATTTAGGCTTAGCGAATCCGGACCCGAAATCAATACGTTATAGACACTGACATATATTTATCTACATCTTTCTACAAATAACGGAAAAAGCACTCAAGAAAAACTAATAATCAGAATAAC